AACAAGGAAGCTGCAAGCTACCGCATAACATGGATGAACCTTGAGGGCATTATGCTGAGTGAAATTAGTCACAAAAAGAGAAATACTGCATAGGACCACTACTGTAAAAGACTAAGGAAAAGAACCCATACTAAAGGGTGGTGGGGGGAATTTTTTGTTGTTTGTTGGGATGTTGGGGGTGGGTGAGGGGAGTGAGGGGAAGGTGGAACACAGGGCAGGAATTAGACACAGGATAGTTTGGGTGCTGGGGAGGGGGCAATATACAAGTAGGAAGAGGGGAATGGAACAACAAAGCAAATGGGAGAACAATTAGACAGGTCTCAATGGGCTAAGTGGGACAGAGGTAAATAATGCTATATGCCTGGGAACAACAGGGTTCTGGGATACAGAGATTGAGCCATGGTTCGAATGGAGGGAAGGGGGGAATAATGTTAAGATGCTTGGCTGTCTTTTGGAAAAAAGAAAGAAAGAAATCCACGTGACTAGAGAGTGATGTTGATATCAATACAGTAGGACTGTTACTGTTGTTGTGAGGTACCATCAAGTTGGCTCCAACGCAGAACAAACTTATTTCCAACAGAAAGTAACACTTGTTCTTATGCTGGACACCACAGCTGCAGCCCCTGTGTCAATCCACTGTAGAGGACAAATTAGGAGAGCAAAATGAAACGGTATTGCTAATAATGCATGTGTACAAATGTAATATAAAAAGAAACAATTGTCGGGGACCGGCCTCAACAGGGGTGTTTGATTCACGAGGTAGGGATATCTGGCGGCGATAGGAATAGCAAAAGAGGAGACACAAAGACACAAAGAGAGAGACAAAGAGATACCCCGAAACCAGAGTGGATGCATTACTGGCGTCAGGCAGATCCGGCCTGGTGAACATATTAGCCATGAGGGCAGTAAGATCCTGCATAGCAAACATCTTAGCTATGCGGGCAGTATGCTCCCTTTGCTAGCTGGTCAGTAATGCATGCCTAGTCAGCTGTATAACACGCCCTCCAGGCTGTAATGCACACCTGGGTCGGTCCACACCCCCGTTTTATTTAGGGGAGGCGCTTTACACCAAGCTGGGAGGGACTAAGACAAGGTACAGCTACATATGTAATTTTCCAGACATTCAGGCAACTTTACATCATAATACACAGGTTCGAATCCCAGGCCCTCAACTTGGTTTCTCTGGCTCAATTAGAGTATATAGAGCACCTGAGCTCAGTTGGGGGAAGGTGAGAAGGAAGGTCAAAAGGCTTGG